AGCCGATGCAATGCTGTATCTGGAAAAGGATTAGCACCTTTAATCCAAGCAATACTTGAAGCCATCCCAAATAACTGAGAATCAGGGTTTCACACGTCATTTTGAGAGCTGTGCCATGAACCCATAAAGTCTTTTTTTCTTGGTCTTTTTCCTGTTTATCGGTACTGGGGATTGAACTCACGACTGCCTGCTGGCAAGGCAGACGCTTATGCCGCTGAGCTAAATCCCCAGCCCCTGAACCCATAAAGTCTTAATAAGCATTCACAGATGTGCCACCTCAGGCAACTAAAGAAGAGGGCAGGGTGGGAGTCACTGGCAATACTGGTTAGCTGTAGGACAGGCAACTGAGTGCAGGTTGCAGAGGCAAAGGGACTCACCAAAGTTTCTAGTGTCTGCAATTTTGACCCCTGTGAAAGTACTACTGACTTTACCATAAGAAAAATTTTAAAAACAGAAATATTATCTATTAAGACTTCAAGATTGCAAATAACTTGTTCAAGATTTAAAATTTTGTGTTTTGTGTTTTTTTTTTTTTTTGGCACCAGGGATTGAACTCATGACCTTGCACTTGCCAGGCAGTACTTACACCGCTGAGCTAAATCCCAAGCCCTGTTTTGTTTTTTTTGGAGACATGTTCCTGCCATGTAGTCCAGGCTGGCCTTGAACTTGTAATTCCCTGCCTCAGCCTTTGGAGTACTAGGATTTATAGGCATAAGCCACTATGCCTGCCTATAAAACATTCTTTAAGGTGCCCCTTAGAGTTTAGGTCAAATTAGCAATAAAAAATTTAGTCTATTCAAGTCAAAATAACTGGGAGTCTTGGGGAAGGGCCATGGAAAGTGAATATATTTCAAAGCAGGAAAAAAATACACGCTATTAATAGTAGAATTTATTTTTAAATTCTCAGGCAAATACAATTTTTCACTTTCTTTACCTTTATGTTACATCTATGCTATGTTCTTGGATGTTTTGCTTATGGGAAATATCAAAATGTCAACTATTGTTTCTATTAAAGGTTTTTTAATGATACTGTATTTTAGATGTATAATGAAACATGGTACTCACTGCGGTCTGTAATACATCCCATTAAATACATTAATAGCATGCGTTTTACTAAAAGGTCAACTTATTATGGCTAAGGTTTAGCTTACCTTTAGTCATGTCATTTAAAGCTAGAGAACAAATTCCATAAATAAATAAATAAATATCAGAATACTTATTATAGAAATGCTCTCAATTTTTTCATTCATCTGTCAGTCAACTTATTAAAAAATTAGTTAATGTTTTTATTTTATTTATTTTTTGGTCCTGGGGATCAAACACTCGACCTTGCACTTGCCAGACAGGCGCTTAGTTAATGTTTTTATATGAAACAATTACATCAAGATTTAAAAAAAAAAAACTTGATATACATGTTAAAAGATTTATTGATAAAAATGAGATATTAGCTTTTATCTGCTTCAAAGTAATTCAGAGGGGAGGAGAAATAAAAGAAATAAAATTGGCAGGGACGGGGCTGGCGGCATACCTCAATGACAGTGTTTGCCTAGCATGTATAAATCCCTAATACTGCAAAAGAAAAAAAAAAAAAGTGGCTGGGTGTCAATTGTTAAGATAGTGATGGTATATGGGGGTCTGTTTTCTTTACCTTCATATAGTTCATATATGGTCCATAATGAAAATTTTAAATAATTTATGCTTATATTTCCTTAAGTAACTCACCTTGTTCCTTAAGTACCATCACCACCATCATAAGGTGGCCTCCTAATAATAAAGCTGTTAAAAGAAGGAAAAGGGAAAGCTGACCTCTCTTCTAAGTAGCTTTGTGCTCAGAATATCCCTTAATTTTGTTAAGGTCACTTCATGACTTACCACATATGAACCCACTAAAATATAAAAAATTACTGTTGAAATCATTTCATGGTTCAAGAGATCTAATTACCAACATATACCAGGCAAGGTGACTGGGTTGGACTAAATTCATGTGTTGGGGAGGAAAAGAAAAGAAAAGAGGTAATTTGCTGTTTTTGAAAAGTAAAATTTAAGGTGCTGAAATTATAAAACTTGATGTTTGGCTAGGAATTTAGGTCAGTGGTGTAAGTGCCTGCCTGGCAAGCATGAGGTCGTGAGTTTGATCCCCAGTACCAAAAAAAAAAAAAAAAAAACAAATCAAAAAAACCCACTTGGTGTTCAGGAGTTTATAGCACTAGACTTCGAGGCAATAATTAGAGCCATAAGTGTAAAGGACAGTGCAAAGAAAGAAAACAGAACAAAAATACAACCAAAGGATAGGATCCTGAATACAATGACACTTACACTAAGAGGGTAAAGCAGCCTGAGAAGAGATCAGAAAGGTAGGAAAGTCCAAAAAGCATACACAGGACACCAAAGCCAAAGGAAAGTATTTCAAAACAAGGATAAATCATTCAAGTAGGAAAGAACTCAGTTTGGCCAGAAAGAAAACTCTCACCAGCTTTCTACTGTTACGAAAGACTAAAGCTAAACTAAAAATATTAAAATGGACTGCAACACTGCCCATTTCCCAAAGTAGCTAATGTAGATTATAAAGATAACTCTAGTGCTTACCATTTATGGTGTGATATGTGCCAGACACTGTGCTAATGCTTTATATTGATTATGTCCTTTAATCCTAAAAACCATATTATCCCCACTTTATTGCAAAGTAACTTACAAAGGGTCACATAGCTAATCCACTGCTGAGATGAAATCTAAACCCAGGCAGTTTGACTTTACCCAGAAGACTAAGCAAACTGAAAATAGATTTAATTAAAGACAATACATTCCAATGTTTGTTGTAGGGTAGGTATAAACTCAGGCTATGTTCCACAACAGCTATACAGCACAGTATAAACTGATCACACAGAATAATGTAGCCAAGGTGGGGCTGGAGATTTAGAAAAAAAAAAAAAAAAAAGAATAATGTAGCCAAGAAATTATTCTTAAACTTTGCTTACCAAAAAAGGGAAGTATACAATACATAAATGTCATATCGGCATAAGAAGGCTGAAACAAAGGTTAGTTACCCTTCAGATGGTTATTAGAAAGCTCCCCTATCCTCTCAGTGTATGTTACACTAATGGAACATTTCTTTTGTTCTTCTCCCTCCTTCACATCCCCTCTGTGGAATTAATAGACACCTGTCAGATTAAATGAAGTTCACCAAATGAGACAGGGGCAATGGATAAGCCCAAAAAAAGAAAGATTAAAAAGATCAGAGCTACTGTAAAACAGAAGTTAAAACAACAATAAAATGGCTAAAGAAACTAAATGATATTCAAGAATAAGAATGCATCCATTATGTTTGATGCTAACCCTAAAAATGTCTATACTTTGAAAGAGGAATTTAAAAAAGGAAAAGACTCAAGAAAAGAAACAAAACAGAAAATAAAACATTTAAGATAACCTATTGAACTTTAGGTCTCCTTCAAAGGCACTCCAAAAATTAGGTCACCAGGGCATTAAAAATAGCAGAGAAGTGTTCCCCCAAAAAAAGTGAAACCATCAATCTCTCATCCATTTAACGGACGAAGGAAGGAAAGTTAAAGGAGAGGATATAATAGATTCAGGCTGGTTCCTGAAAGAACCACCCAGTCTCTTCCACATAGGAGGACAGACTTCAAGTGTAGGAAGCCATTCCTAATTAAACCAAATGTTGTCCTACATAAGAAACATTCACAGAATCCGCTATCCTGGAAACCCTATCTCAGAGGTTTACGGTGCCAACACAGATGGCCTCCTCAACTCTTAACTCCATACTGTAAGTCTTTAATTTTTTTTAAGATGGGGTCTTGCTGCTTCCTAGGTGGCCTCAAAACCCTGGGCTGAAGTGATCCTCCTGCTTCAGCCTCTTGGGTAGCTGGGACTATAGGCACATGCTAGCCCACTGGGCTTTAGTTGTTTGTTTGTGGTAATGGAGATTGAAGGAAGGAGTACTAAACTACATCCCTACTCCTTTTTATTTTTTTATTTCATACCAGGTCTCATTAAATTGTTCAGACTGGCCTCAAGTTTTGACCCTTCTGCCTCAGACTCCCTAGTAGCTGGGATTAGAGGTATGTGCCATCATGCCTTTTCCAGCTTTAAATTTTAAAGGGCAAATGAAAGGCTAGGGTAGTAGTACAGTGGTAAACGAGCCCTGGGTTCAACCTCTAGCATGACAACCACCAAACAACAATAAAAGAGTGAATGGAAACACTAACTCCCAGGGTGAAAATAAACAAGTGATTCAAACCATGGCACATTCACCCCAGATGCCCCGGTGCCCTAGTCCTGCAGTGCCACTGGGCCCAGGAGGCTGTGTGGTGCCAAAGGAAGAATCCTAGATCATAAGGCAGAAAAGGTAGAGTTTTACCTCTGCTGCTCACAAACCACCTCTGTAACTCTGGGCAAGTCATTTTCTTGGGCCTCAGTTCTCTCATCTGTAAAATGAGGGAATTGGGAACCAAATAATCTCTAAATCATTTTTCTCTCTAGAATTTTTTGACTTTATAGCTTAGTAATTGTCTTCTAAAACTTATTCCCCTTGTAGTCATCATCTCTTCTCTTGGTCACACAAACAAGGACATACATAAAATCATCTCAGCACGTTGTTCTAAAAACCTTCCACAGGACAGCATTTTTTTAGTGCATGATGCAACTTAAATGAATGGAGTTTAATCACTCATCTTTTTCATTTTGCCCTACACCAGTGAGCTATCACACAATGTTCCCTAAGCTTATGTCTCACAGAAGTTACTTAGAAAGTCACAGGCCAAGCAATAAGAAAAGGACAAAAGAAGAGTAGACATGGCTCCAACATCCAATCCATTTCAAAGTTATCCTCATTTAATAAAAAGATTACATTGCTGTATTTAAAAGTCAAAAAAAAACCCACATTGCAATATCACTAAAATCAAAACTTCTTTCTTTTGTATCAACCCCAATATATACCAATGTACCTCAGTGCTTCTAAGTATCCCAAAATAGTATAATATTCTTACTGTTTTTCAGGGCACTGGCAAATTCTGGGCCACCTTTGTCCTTGAAAACAGGGAAAACATCTGGCTGAGGCAGCTGATTGGTGGTCAACAGAGCTTTTTGTAGTTTGATCCTTCCTTCTAAGAGCTGGTCCCACAGTGCTAAGAAAGAAGAAAACAAAATCTGACCCATGAGTTAGAATTAAATATTCCTGGGATGTAGATAGGGGAGGGACAGGAAACCAACTTGGTCTCTAGGCAGCATAGCTTTATCAGTTTCAGGCCATGGAGACACTGTCTATTCTGGGAAATACATTCGGTATCTTGGAAATAAATATTTGTTAGAAGAGAGTGAATGCTAAAGCCCGAGGAAAAGAGAGAAAACACTTCCCCCTTCCACTTTCCACAGCTGCTAGAAGTACTAGAGCAGAACCAGCTAAGCAGCTCACTACAGAAACGGCTGGCTAAGCACAGAGGAATGGGTTTGAGACCTCTGAGTAAGTGAGGCGCGTCACAAACTAATTGGAAGAACATCCAAGAGACAGGACAGCCAAGAACAAACAAACAAACAATCCCACAAACAAGCAGACCAAATGCAGAGACTCTGAAATACAAGTGACCAGCAAAACCATGTACCAACCTATCTGGTTCTTCACAGCTCTTCCCTTCTCCACTTCCTCTGAAACCTTGGCACCGGAGAAGGTCAGCACCACACCGTCGTCTTCACTCTGCCTGTCTCGGGCCGCAGCCCCGTCTCCCTCACTCTCCTCATCCGAGTCTTCCTCACCGTCCCCATCCCCTTCTTCCATGCCACTCTCCTCCTCTTCCTCTTCTTCCTCCTCACTGCTCCCAAGGTCATCCATCCCCTCGGTAAATTTTTCAAAGTCACTGATGCTCTGGAAACTAAAGCCCGGTGCTTTTGCTGAGTGGCTTCTGCCCTTCTTCCAGGCTGGGCTGCTCTCTTCACTATCATCAGCATCCTGCTCCTCGGCAGCACTCAGGTCACCTGCATCGGATTCCTCTAGGCTCAGTGCCTCTGAAACTCCATCTCCAGATCCCTCTTTGTCAGATATTTCCTGGTCTGAAGCCGAAGGGAAGGAAGAAAAAACAGGCGTTACCTGGGTAAAAGTACAAGACTACAACTATCATTTCAATTACATAATTAAATAAAAAATTATTATTTAACTCAACTGAATAGATATTCATTACCCATCTACTATTTCTAAAACGCTATGAGAGAAGCAAAAATGAACAAAACAATATAGAGAAGAATCAAAAATGCTTTGCTAGAGTCTTAGAAGCCCACCATTCTGGGAGGCTGAGGCAGGACAACTGCAAGTTTGAGCCCAGCCTGGGCAACTTAGTGAGATCTCATCTGAAAAAATAAAAAATTCAAGGGCTAGGGCTGCAACTCAGTGCAAAGACCCTAGGTTCAAACCTTACTACTACAAATAAATAAATAAAACTTTTTTCAACACAGTGGCAGACCGCTAATCCCAGACACTTAGGAGGCTAAAACAAGACGACTGTAGATTTCAGCATATCCGGGCAACTTAGGAGACACTGTCTCAAAAATTAAAAATAAACAAACAAGTAAATAAAAGGTTTAGAATATAGCTCAATGGTACAGAGTTTACTTATCACACATGCCGCCCTTGGTTCAATTCCCAGCACCACGTTAGGGTGATAAATTGATAATAAAATAAAAAATGCTTTGCTAAATTTCAGTAACCTAGAGGAAAGCCATATTTTAACTGTGGGGCAAATGAATTTGAGATTATAAACTATGTATTACACACATGTACTAATAAATTAAAATTTTAAAAAAGAGAAATATTGTAAGAAGCTGGACACAGTGATATATCCTGTTATCCCAGCTGGGTGAGAGACTGAAGCAGGAGGATTACAAGTTCACTGTCAGCCTGAACAATTCAGTGAGACTGTCACAGCAATAAATAGTAAGATTTCAAAGTAGGTAATGATAAACTGTATTTTGAATACCGCTTACCATTAACTACCCCAAATGTACAATCTCTATCATATCAGTGTATTCCAGCTTTTTATTAAGTATCTATTATAAGGGAGACATCAAGACTAAGAAAACAACAAAAAAAAATTCTATGCTTGTGGAAAACAGTTCATGGTCTGATAGGAGCAGAAGAGACATACACCAGTAATTATTTCACAACATCATCAGTGCACAGTGTATAGAGAAGTAACCACTTAAGTCTCCTGGAAAGGTGAGGGAAGTTTCACTTCAAGGGGACATTATGATTTTACTTACAAAGTATAAGGAACAAGTCATCAGACAGAGCAGAGGGGAGGAAAAGCCTAAACAGCGCTGACACACAGAATGCACAGGAACTGGGAGGAGATGAGCCTACAGAGCGCCAGGTAATCAGGCAAGGCCCTGTCTTCCTAAACTTGATCCTATCACAGACAACGCTACCAAAGGCTCCTGGTTTTACTTATGCTTGTGGCATTACCTGACACTGAAGAAGTATTTTACTGTTTATCCAGTACCTTCCAAGGTAAAGCATAATATCTCCATTTTAATAAGCATAATTATTAGATACAAGGATGAGTTAACAACTTTCTTCAATAAAAGAGATTTTACAAAAACACAATGCATTTTCAGTACTTTTTAAAAGAAATATACATTTAAAAAGACAGCCAAGGTTGTTAACAATATAAATAGGAAAACTGCAAAAAATCACAAACAATCCTTTAAATTCTTTAAATATATGCAATGCCATTTCTCAAACCAAGAAACATTCATAGAGGACAGGGGAGAAGGGGATGTAAAAACAATTAAGAAGTCTTATATACATGTGTAATTCTCTTTGATAAATGCAATCATTATACACTACAAATATACACTAATAAATTTTTTTTTAAAAACTCATACAGCACAGTAGTTCTTGGAGTCAGACTGCCTTCACTTGAATCCTAGCTCTTCCACTTCATAGTTTTATGACCCTGAGCAAGTTATCTACCAATTAACCCCCCCCCCACTTTCCTTATCTGCAAAATGGGGGCAAATAATACCAACTTGTTGGGCTACTGGATTAAATGAAATGATACAGATCATGGTAAAAGTGATATTTTTTGAAAACTTACTGTGTCCCAGACTTTCAGAACTTGAAGAACTAACCACAGTAACTGACATGTGTTGAGAGTTCAATAAGTATTATCATACTCATCTCATGACTGGTCCTTTTATCAAGCTCTAGACAAAGAATATGAAAGGAGTTTATCGGAAGCTCCCAGAACTGCATCAAGGACTAAGTCACAGATGCTATGACCTGAATGACTGTTTCTTTTATATTACCTAAGGATTCTCAACATGGCACTCCTCCCCTCCTCAGGGAAAACCAATGGCACCCTAATCACCATGTCCAACTCCTTCAACTTTGAGAAAAGATACAATTCTCTTTGTTGCTGTTTTTCAGAGGGTCTCACAGCAGGGGATATAGCTCAGTGGCACTGTGCCTACCTGGCAAGCGCAAGGTCCTGAGTTTGAGTCCCAGTACAAAAAAAAACCCCAAAACCAAAACAAAAAAAAAGGATCTTGCTATGTTGCAGCAGGATAGCCTTAAACTCATTATCTTTCTGCCTCCGCATCCCAAGAACTGGCATCTTACGCATGCACCACCACATCCAGCTGAGAAAACAGAGTTCTTTAGAACTGTAAATTCACATCCTCCTGTCTTGCAGTAGTGAGGGAAGCATTATGTTATTTTTTACAATGGCAAAAGGTTAGTTTCACAAATAACTGTTACCATACAGCCAACATGAACACCTGAAAAACAAAAGGAAATGAATCCAAATCCAAGAGGATGATGCTACTTAGACACGATTTTTTTAAACACACAACTCTGTCTTTTCTTTCACTCCATTGTAAGGAGAATTCTCAGTCTGATTACATACAGCCCAGCAATTTGATCCTCTGGATTTGAGGTTTCTTATGAAATGAAATGATGTAACCTCTGTGGTCTTTCCTAATACCAAATCAATGGTCCCTCCCAAGTTAATAGGTAGACAACACAAATTTGCAGAGAACATTCATATAAAAAGGATATTAACGCTAAAAACTTATGGAAAAAAAGTTCATGCAAATACATCTACTCACCAGATACACCTGGCACAGTCTGCTCCCAGCAGTCTTCCTTCCACGCTTTCCTAGAGGTGGCCTTGCCAGAATATCTTTTGTCTGTGTCCAAAACGAAGGCAGATGCCCGTTTTCTAATGCTACCCACTGCCAAGAAATCGCCTTCTCCATCTTCCCCTTCATCAAACCTGTCAATCACTCTGGCAGCTGTAGCTGTGGAGAAGGAAGAAAAGTAATCACAATCTCAAGTTTCAAGAAACTTTAACAGGAATCCTTAAACTCTTCATCTCATACCTAATGTCCTCTGCAAAATCCTCACCAATTTTCAAAAGGAGGAAACGCATTTCCTCTCCAGGTAGATCACTGTCTTCCTGCTGTTACTAAACAGAGAGCTGACTTCCTGCGTGCAGTAGTAGATATATTCCTATGCTTTGATCCTACAAAATGAATCTAATTCCTCTTCCATGTGACAATCGCTCCAATATCTTAAATCAGGCATCAAGTTCTATCTTCACTCTGTCCCAGCCCTCAGAGAGTTTTCTTCCTTATCCTGGCTAAACAGCCCCAGTTCCTTCAACTGATATTCCTAAACCGCCGTTCAGCACGCACATTATTACCCACTTCTATACACTCCTTGGACTCAAGCCTAAAGTAGGATTACTCTCAGCTAGATTCTGAAAATCAGTTTACAGAGCAGTGGCTTGTTGTCAGCCCCTGAGCAAGTGTCTTGGGACCTAAAAGGTTTAAACAGTGCTTTTCCCTTTATTCTCCAAGCAAGTTTTAGATGAAACCAGTTTAGAAAAAAATGACATTTGCTTTGCCCTCTTTCTAAGGTAATACAAGAAGAGCAGCCTGAGAGGTAACTTCCAACCTGCTGCTACTCTCCAGCAGCCCTTGACCAACTTAACTAGCTCCAGGCCTGAGTGCTAGATTAGCGCCCCATCACCACCACCAGAGTTTCAAGTGTTGAGTCTGTCAGAAGACGGCGAAGCCCTGCCCTGAGCATCGGGAAACCCTGGAGGAAAGCAGTTTTCTCTGCCCTAGTTGGGCGAGATGGTGAGGCACCGCTGCCGCCCCTTCCACGCCGCCCCCCAGGCCCTACAAAGCCGGGCCCAGGGCTCCGCACGTGGTCTGCCCCGGTCAGGCCTCACCTTCCTCTGTGTCGGCTTCAGGATCTTCCTCGCGCGGTCGCGGATTCAACAACTGTTCCAGCTGCAGAGCCAGAGGCTGCGGTCCCGCCATCTTCCCCAGGTCCCGATCTGAGCTGTGCAAGTGAATAAGCGGGCCCCGTTTTCCGACCCAGACGCTCTCCCCGGCCGGCGGTCCTAGCCCGAAGCTGCACCGCAGCACAGCCAGGGGCCGCGCAGAAAAGCGCACTCAGCTCCCTACTGGCAACTTCCGGGAGGCTCGCGCGCACGCGCGCGGAGGGAACAGGGCCTGTGCGTCACTACGCGCGTTGCTAGGATAAGGCGGAAGCGCGCGGAAGGGTAAAGGGATTGTGGCAGTACGAACACGCGTGCGCGTGCGTAGAGGTGGTGCATTAGAAGACGCGGGAGCGCGCAAGAGCACGTGACCGCTGCTGGCTCTAAGCGTTGATTGCGTTGCGCCCAGCCTGTGTACTCCCGCACAAAATATCCTTCAAGCATTGTGAGAGGTTCAGTTAGCAATAAAGCATAGCGTAGCAAGGGCCTAAGGTGGCTGATTTGGAAAGGAGGAAGGAGTAAAGAGTAAGCGTTTGGAATCTCTGTTTTGAACTCGAGCATGCGAAGACTGGGACCCAATACAGATTTGGCCTTTCACAATTTAGAGGAGGAGTTTGGTGCGAAGGGATCATGCCTCTGGCCCCGAGGCAACCAGAATTAAGGAATCCTACGTTAGTGATGTGCATATGTAAGCTTGCAGGGAACTGCTGTTGTCTTCATTAATAGGAACAATTAGAAATGGCTATGTTAAGATAGCAAGAGGCAGTATGGTAACCATAGTTGATCACCTTGTATTTTGTTTTTACATTATGTATTATGTCCATCCTTTTGATTTGATTGACTGTTCTGTTATGTCACATTTGGTTTTACTCTCTTCAAAAAAAAAAGTAGTAAGAACTGTGGAAGTAATAAAACCCAAAATGTGTAATTGTCATTGTACAAAAGAAAGGAAAAGAAAGTGCTCTAAAGGATATAACTGCATATATATTTAAGTGTATAAGATAGATAACCATATTATTGAGTTTTGTTGGATCATTGAACAGAACTGTTTGCAGTCTCAGTGTTTGAATGTCCACTTTATATGCTTTAATTTTGTAACTTGAGCAACTATTTCTAAGATAACAATATGTAATCTATTAACTAGTGATTTCCTACTGTTTATTTTTTCTGAAATTCTGTATAACTTGTACCCTTTTTCTGTTTTTTTTTTTGTTTTTTTTTTTTTTGCCCTTAAATAAAAAAAAAAAAATCGCTATGGCTGTAGCTGCTCCAAAAAGGTGGTGGAGCAAGGTTACTGCACACTCCTCTGTGTAATCTTCCATGCTAAGAGCTGAGGGCGAACTCAGATACCTGAAATTGGTGTACAAAGGCAGAAAAGCTCAGGTCTCCCGTTAAAAGGGTAGCATATAAAGACTTAATAGAAATTTAATTTAATCCAGGCACAGGGAAAAATGCAATCCCTTTGCATTTTCATTCCTTCGTTGAGCATTCCCTGACTGCCCACTGTGTGGCAGGCACTGCTAGATGAGATACAAGATCAGTAAGTTAGATTCTTTCCCCACAGTAATCAGCTTAGGGGGCAAGCAAGCAGGTAAATATAAACTGCATTAAGGAATGACAAGTCTGAAGGCAAAGTGGTCTATCCTTCCAGTATCCTTTATCGAGGTCACCTATAGAGACCTGGAACCTGCTAAACAAAAACTTTCTCCAAAAGATCCAGAAAAAGATTGGTGGCCCACTGTGACAGTGTCCCTTTCTGAGTACAGTCCAGGTCACTTGGATTCCTGAGCTGAACTCTTAATTACCTAGTGTCTCCGGTGAAACCCAAAGGAAAAGAAGATCTCTGACTTTCAGTGCCCATATATCCTCAGAATCAACTAATGAAAGGTCACTACTTTAGTATGGCCTATCCCATGCCACTGTACTAAATGGCTCTCACAAGAAGACATCCATGGTTTCAGAGTGAAAGAAGAACCTTGGGGTTAGTCTCCTCAGTCATGGATGGAAAAGAATGTCTGCCAGGTAGGGAACTTAGGCAAAGAAAACCTAATTCCTAATTTTACCATCCATAACATGGACTATGAGAACAGGGTTTTGTTTTTGTTTTTAAATGTATCTCTTAGACTTCCAGTCTTTGTGCCTGCATCTGGACTCCTCAGTTCTCTACAAGGTACCATTGTCTTGGACGTCAAAGACCAAACCTATTTTTCTGTCTCACATTTAGGAAATTAACTCCTCTAGTCCTTTTCCATTGCTATTTTGGACAAGAAAGTGTTTGGAAATCGGTCTTCAAGGTAAGGAGAAAAAGGGTCTAGGTAGGGCTGGGATCTTGTGTACATTGTCATGCTAACTGGACACTGCTGGACCATTTGGGGCCACACTGGGCAAACACTCAGCAGAAAATGCCATAGACCTGTTTACCTCCTATCCCTTCTCTGCCTTGGACTCTAGTGATTTGGGAAAACTTTTCAGAAAGGAATTAAAAACCCTCTAAGGTCATGAACATCCCAGGGTCCCCAAAATGCTTCCTGTGCTTTGTTACTCCATACTGAGAGTCAGAAGATGATTTCTGGAGAGGAGGAAAGGAGAAGGAATTCTAGAACTGAAGATCTGAGAAGTTGAGGCATACAGCAGGGGAGATGAAATCTCTCAACTGTGGTCCCCCCCCCCCTTAACTGTATTCTAGATTCTCCAGGGAGGAGCTGCCTGCTTGGGAAGGGGTGGGATTGGAAATGGTGAGTGGACTATGGGAGGGATAGTTCAAAGACTATACTTCCCTAGAAGAACTTTCAGCTACCAAATGGTTTAAAAATCAGAGCAGATGAGATGAGCAGAGCAGTGAGGATAAGGCGAGTGGTCTTTCTAAAGAACACTCGTCAGTCTTCTGGAGAGAAGGCCGGAGGGGCTTCCTGTTCACAGTTCCCCTGTCTGTTAAAAACTACAAAGTGGCAGAAGTAGGCCTAGCAGAGGTGACATTAGACACCCCCTCCCACACCCATTGTCTGAAACAATTTGTCTGTTCTAGGCATTTGACCAGAAGTTTCAAGAGTTGAGGGGTCCAATCTGGCGCTCTTCTAAGGTACATCAAACCCCAAGTCGCAGCCCCTGGCAATGGCTCTCCAGGCTCTCCACACATTCCTTCCAGCCTTATCTTGCATCAAAACAGCACCCCAGCCTCACCGCGCTGGGAGCGCTGGCTGAGGGCTCCCTCGCCCTCTCAAGCGGCTGCTCCCGCTGCTGGAACCCCGGGACTGCTGGCCGCAGGCGCAGAGGTGACGGCTGTAAGATGGCCTCGGGGAGAAGCTACGCTGCCCCGCCGGGCCGAGAGGAGGCGACGGGGGGGGGGGGCGGGGGCGTGGTGGCGCTGCCTCGGCCCGGCGCGTCTCTCCGCGGAGCCGCGTGCAGGCGGTGCTGCGCTCGCCTGCACCTCGGGTGCGAGGTGCACCACGCCGCACTGCTGAGAAGGGAATTGGCTCCTGCCACTTCTAGACCTCTTCACTCCGGGCCTTCAGCTCCAATTTAGACTGCTGAGCATGACCACCTGTTCGGGTATTAGCCGGGTCTTCTGACAATCGCGCCGAGGGGAAAGACTGTGCCGCTGCCACCGAGTTCAAATTGAATCCACACCGCCTGTCCAACTCTAAAATGCTTATCAAATACCCCGATGCCACAAGAAAGCTGCTAAATAATTCAGCAGCGTTTGATAGGAAAATGCAGCTTCCCGATGAGCACAAGTTCAGTTAAATGAACGTCTTTAAGGAGGGGGTAGGGAGTGGTGGCTGTAATGAATACGTTAGCTATGATTTAATGTATATAAATGCTAAAAGGACAAAACGATTCTGTGATTGCATATAAAGCACTTAAAGAAAATGTGCTGTATGCAGAACCTAGGGGTTTCAGAAGTCTCTTTTGTATTTCATAAATTTTTATTTCTGAAAGAACATTGCCAGATTCCTCCCTGATATCTCTCCCCATTAGATAAGCTATCATAGGGAGGCAGTGAAATGCTACTTATTTGAAAGTCTTTTCTACAGGAAAGATAAACTTGACTGTGTCTTAACAAAATATGAAAATAGTGCTGAAAATTACATACTATAGAATGCAAAACTTCTGATTTTTTCAAAATTAGAAATAAATAATCCAGACTGAAATGTTGGCGTACGGAAAAGAAATTCTAAAAATCTAATAGCATTTGATTTTAAAGCACACATCCACCCACACATGAGTATTTTACAGTAGATAAAATACTCAAATTCCTTCTGTTTCTAATGAAAGCTTGGAAGGGACTGAACTACTTTTTAGAACCTATTGGCCAACTCCCAGATGAAATTTGACTTCTATATTAGTTATTTTGGCTCTTCTTTGAGAGAAACCTAATATGAATCTCGCTCCAGGCAAAATAAGTTTTCCTTCTGGAGAACTTCAAATGTAATAAATACTATAAAACAGCAATTTCACATCAGTTCTAAGAAAGGAATTAAAGTGTTTCATTTCTAGCTTACTGCATGTTCATTTTATGTTATCTTTCAAACCGCCAAATTAGAAAGCAATATTATCTATGGAAAATGAATTGAAACTAAAAAGGACCACCTCTAACTATATATTTACAAGTGTCTGACATTCACAAGCCTGGTTTTGCATGTGCAGAGTAACAGAGAGAATGCTTTGAATCTCATCCCTAATAATAGACCAGGACTACTCATTTTTAGCCATGGATTTGATTTCTATTTCAAATTCTATATTAACTTATCAGCAAATATCTCTTCACCTATATCAGTTAAATCCACAGAATCCAAATCTGTATTTAATGACAGCAGGAAGCCACAGAGAAAAGCTTGCCTGGTATTAGCAAAGACCGACAACCATAGCCAAGGCAAAAACCAGGTACATCACCCCAGTCCTGGCTGTCTTTCTCTCAGGTTCTGAGGGTCCCATCAGTGTCCCATCAGGACTCCTCTCTAATTGTTGGAAACATCCAATGCCACACCAATTATCTAAACATCAGATTTTCTATTTTTATTAAAAATTCACAAATTTATTCAACATGTTTTCTTTCATACAGTGAATGGTCTAATATGCACTGGAGGTCACACAAGCTTAGGTTTATTAGAACAATAAAAGACATATGAGAAATTTAATATATAAAGAAAAAAGTAGCAGCTGCTGACTGCATATTTGACCATAAAATTTAAATATTTTGGACTTTTATTTTAAAGACACAAAAATAAAACCTGTGTGGGTCTATATAAGTCATATTAACAATTCCATGAATGTTCAACAGGACTAAAAATTAGCAAAGATGTCTTGTTTTAAACCTTTAACACTTTTTTAAAACACTTTCTCAGGTTGCTGGTGCCTGGCACCTTTACAGTATTTGTGCTATAATTATTCTATTTGGCAACTGTCTGAATATCATGTTTTCTCTTTGCCTTGTGTAAACAACACCTTTTTACATACTAGCACAGTGAGCCCCAAGCCCTGCAAATCTGTCAGAACATCTACAAGAAAAGAAAAGGAATAATTTTGGTTGATTGCTCAAAACGTTTTTGAACAAGAGGTTTCAAAACAGGATATCTTAGTAAAACACTGAACTCCTGAATTTAACATTATACGTAAACAGTTGACTGTTTTTAGTTCAATAGTCTTTTTTTTTTAACTTTTGTCTGTGAAGGTAGAATACTTTTCTTGTACAGCTGATGTTCAAGTCATTTTACTGAGAGGTCTGACTGTGAGACCATGGATTGTGTTATCCGTGTGTGTGTGTGTGTGTGTGTGTGTGTGTGTGTGTGTGTGTTGTGTGTGCAGAGCTTTGTGAAGGTAGAAGAGTTGATACTGAGGGCTTTACATTTAGAATTTTGCAATTTTGGTAAAAACAAAAACCAAAAAACCCAGATAGACAAAAAAATATATAGTCCCACCTGATGCACAGCAGGTCGGTGTTTCTGAAGCTATGAGTTTGTTGTCGCTGTAGCTGACCTCTGAGACAACACTAGTAAAAGGGAATCTCAGAGCCAGAACCCGCCTGGCCGGCCGGGAGCGTCCCGGCCGCCTCGCCTCGCCTCGCCTCCCGCGCCCGGCCGCGCGCGCCTCACCGCCTCCCTCCCCGCGGCTCCGGGCGCGGCCCACGCCGAGCGCCGTGCGCGTCCGCGGCTGTCGAAAGGTCTTTTCGGCCCGCCGGGCCGCAGGTCCGGGGAGTCTGTCGGACCGGGTCCAGAAGGGAGGTCAGGAGAGCGCTGTGTTTCCCTTCGGGAGCCCCAGTTCTGCACCTCGCCAGCCAGTGCGCAGATCCCAGTCCGACCGCGAGGCGGATTTGAAGCCCACTGTGTCCCGCTTTCGCATCCGGTTTCCCAGACCGCGAATGGTCCCCGAGGCTGCAGAAGTGGGCAGGAGGCTTGCTTTTTATGTTTTTTTTTTTCTCTCTCTCTCGTTCTCTTTCACTTGAATAAAAGTTCATTTCTGTACAAACCACGAACTCCGCGGACCGCGCGGGACCCCGCTACCACACGGCCGCCTCGTTCATTTCGGGGGGATGGGACAGGTGGTTCCCGTAGCTCGCCCCGCCGTTTACCGACAGCGACGAGAAGGGCGGGCTGGGTCCGAAGACCTCAGCCGACATGGAGTGCAGGGGCCCCGGCAGGCTGGGCTCAGGGCTGGGCGAGTCCCCTGGAGGGTGCGCCAGGATGTCGGTGAACCGCTGCGCCTCGCTGGACGGGTGGTGGCCGGGCAGCGGGTGCTCCAGGCCGCCCAGGGGCGTCCCAGATGGCCCGGACGACGGCACGAAGGGAAGGTCCACGGGCGTCTGGGCCTGCGAGGACGGGGGACCTTGCGGGAAGAAGTCGTAGTTGCCACCGGGGCCGTAGTACTCGCTCTGGTAATCTGCGGATGGCGGGGAGGAGGACGTCAGGCCGGGGCCCAGAGGAAGCCCAGACCCAAAGGGTGGGAAAGGAGAGGGGAAGGGGCGATGCAGGTAACTAGCAGTTTGTGGGGCGCCCCTCAGGTCTGAGAGCCGAGAGCAGACTGAGTGCAAAGCAGTATGGCTCCCCACCTGCCCACCCTCCTCATTCAAGGTCGGGAGCCTGGTCCTAGGTCTCACCACCTCCCCAGCCTTCGCCGTTCTCTCCCGGCCTCTTCGCTTCTCTACAGAAAGCCAGGCGCGCTCCCCGCGCTGCCACCCGCTTCCAGCGAACCGCTTCCTAGCCTGGCCGCGCGCCTCGCTACTCTGTTGCGCACTCACCTCCGTAGAAGGAGAAGGGGCCGTTCGGGATGAGCTCGCCCGGCTCCAGGCGGTCCACGAGGGGCCGCATCCGGCGCGGACTGCGGAAGAAGGCGTGGCGCCGGGCGCCCAGCGCGCTCAGTTGCTTCATCCTCCGTTCCTTGGAGCGTCGGTTCTGGAACCAGACCTGAAGCACATAGGCCAAAGCAGGTTGAGGCCACCGGGACTCCACTCCCCCAAACAAGGGTGTGCAGAGGACCCCAGCTCTTCATTCAAGCATGCTGGCCTGGGGCGCGGTGGGGGGAGGCGCTTGGAAGTAGTGGTTAAGTCCCTGGATGGGGCCGAGCATAGCAGACCTTAAACAAGGGTAAGCAGAATTCCCTTCTTTGAAAGAGACCTGGACAGGCCACCTTATCCAACGGAAGGCAGCCACACTGTCAGTTACAGCTTCTCGGCTGTACACACAGACACTAAGCATCTCCAAAAAACAGTGTCACAAATATAGCTTGCCTTTCATAATCTCTTACAGTGACCACTCTTCAACCCTATAATAATGGCAGACACAGAAACCCTCCTGCTGAAACTCGGTTTCCCAAATGTAATGACACCAAAACAGACAGTGACAATGCTGACTCTGACACACAACCCCATACTCCTGTGCACAGGTTTGAACAAGGGCCTAGCTATCTCACATCCTCACCCCCACTGAAGGCCTCTTGCACACTTGCAAAGACACACCCAGCCTCTCTCACCTACAACCTGGCACCTTGCCTCCAGGCACCTTGATCAGGACACTACCATTGGACAGCCTATATCTTGAGCAGTCTTACCTTACAAGGCACAAGTGGGCTCAGCTACCTCCAGATGGCCCCTCCTCCCCATCCAACCAGGGACTGCACCCAGGCAGAGCTGACTGCCCACTCAACTACCTCCCCTTGGATCCAGGACACCCCATCAACCTTTGGATAGCAAGTCTCTGCTCTAGGGCTTGTGTAAACTGGGCAAGAGAGCCACAAAGTTGGAGTTGGGAACTTTGAGGGAGATCACATGTAGAAGCTAAAGGAACCCATTGAGTCTGGTGCCCATCCTGGCCTCTCTGCTCCTTCCTAAAAAGGATGGGGTGAGAGTGACAGGCTAGGTGCAAAAGGAGAGGAACTTTGTGGTATTGAACATAGCCTCCAGCTTCACACCCAGCTCCCTACTTACCCCTCTGAATCTCTACTATCACCTGAGTTGGACTACTAAAAGGATTTCCAGCAGCCCCACCAGCAGCAGCAGTCTCTACAAACTCCCTGCCTCTAAGTCTGGGAGTCCTAGGTTTGCACTTGGTGTCCTGAATAGCCTGTGGTCCTCTGGAGGACCAAGTGGCATGCCAGGGTTCTGACCTGGATGACTCGCATGTTGAGGCCAGTCTCTTGTGCCAGCTGTTCTCGGATGTGTCTTGTGGGCTTGGGTGTAGCGGCAAAAGCAGCCTTCAAAGTCTCCAGCTGCTTGGCTTTGATGGTGGTGCGAGGCCCCCGCCTCTTGGCACCCAAATTCTGGTCATCATTCTCATTGCTGCCCCCTTCCTTGTCTGACACATTTGCGCTCTCCGAGTCCTTGGCATCATCCTGTGATGGGTCTTGGGAATCTGGAGACAAACTGGGGTCACTGCCCGTGGTGGCTGAGGAGAAGGAAGGGGCAGGTGAGCAGGGGCCAGCCGTGGCTAGTCTTCCTCCCGAAGGACCCACCCGCCCCTAGCCAGCTGGGAATCTCACCCGAGTGGAGGCTGTTCTCTTTGGCGACACTGCTGTTACTTAGATAATCCTCTTTGCAGACGAACTTGTTCTCATCTATGATGTAGAGCTCCTCACCAGTGGAAAGCTGCTTGTTACACATCATGCAGGTAAAGCAGTTCAGATGAAACACTTTGCTTCGCGCCCTCCGCACCAGGTCACTAGGGGAGATGCCCTGTGCGCAGCCCGCGCATTTTGTACCGAAACATCTGTAGGGGATGGACATTGGCAAGGGGCAGTGGGAACAGGACCAAAGAAAGAAAGTGGGAGAAAGGAAGAAGTAAATGGAAAAAGAAAGCAAGGAGGGGGGGGGGAGATGAGAGATGAGAATGTGATAAAGAGGCAAAAACCAATTAAGGAGGTGAGAAGGCAGGGAAAGACAGCAAGGAAAGTGAGAGAGAAAATGCGCATGGTTAGAGCCAGGGACCCAAGCTGCTGCCCAGCCTTAGTCTCACTCCTGAAGTTATCCCAGGGAAAAGAATTGCTGAAAAAGGCCGCAGCATGGTGACAACCACAGCAAGGGTGTTAGAGACAGGGTACACTTATTTCCCCGATTAGATTTAGAGAAGTCAAAATCGAATTAGCACATCATATAAATGCACTGAAAACACTGCCCCCCTCCCAGGGTTGCCTCTCTTTCACTACAAAAGGATCAGCTCACCGACTAAGGGTTAGAGAGGTCGGGCTTGGTTACAGATAAATAAACACCGCCACACCAAGCTCAGTAGTCGTAGCTGGGCTGCTGCCACGTTTGTTCGTGCCCAAAGCTGGCAGATTGGCCCAAGCAGGAGCCAAAGAGCGGCTGGGCAGGCTTTAGGCGCCCTGCTGAGCTTTGCAGTAAGCCAGGCCTCAGGGGCCTGCTGGAAGAGGGTATGGCTCACCCCTTTGTGGCTCAGATCGGATCAGTCTTTGGAGAAGAACCTTGTGGAAGCTCTGAGGTTCAACCTCACCACAGTAACTATGTGCACAGCGCTTTGCTCCACTGTGTTCATCAAAGCCAAGACAGGCACGGTGGAGTGGCACTGGGGAACACTTGGCTGGGCCTGTGAGCCAAGTGTGCCTGATGGCTTCAGATGCCCCCCCAACCCATCCTCAGCTGCCCCATTTTAATCTATTGCTGCAAAATGAGAGAAACCCAAGAGTAAGTCAACCAAGTAAACTGGGAGATTTCAAACCGGAACAGTAGAATGCATTTGCACTGTTCTCTGTTGATTTATTTGTGTGGATGAGGTAGCCAAATGAGTTTAAGAAAATGTAACTAAAATGCTAAACAGAGGAAGGGAGTAGAGATAAATCTCCCAGCTCCAAAGAGCCAGGTCTAGCAAGAAGGTGACAGCCTTGGTGGGACATCCCTGGGAGGGCTCCAAATGGAGCCCATGCCTGGAAGCCCAGGTCAGCACTGGCCTGTGGCTGAACTGTTTGCCCACCACCCACAGGTTCAGCAGAAAGAAAAAAACTCAAGACACTTCACAGGCTCTAGTGCAGCAGTTTTCCCAGATCGAGTTGCTTAGAAGCCAGTCTAGGTTTCAAGAAGGCTCCTAAGTGTGCAAGATTGGTCTTGAGGCAGATATCTGAATAGGAGGCAGAGACTCTACCTAAAGGCTCTACTGTTCTTGCCAAAACCATTGCAAAAGGCAGTGCCTTCGAGTGAGCTCAGGTTTCTAAACTAAGCCTCCAGGACAAGCAACTCTGGAGGCCTAGAGTACAGTTGCTGGAGAGCTTGGCTGGGGAAGACTGGAGTTAGGGCACCCTTCTCCCCAGGTTATCTTATTGTCTTGGGGCTTCAGAATGGAGGCAGACGGATATCTTCCTTGGTGCCTGCTGCCAAGCCTGGACCCATACTTTCCAAGATGCAAGTAGGGCTGTTACCCCAGGCTCCCAGCACACCAGTTGGTGAAGAGACAGGCGCCCAAGGGACTTGGCTGCCCTCTCTTCCAGAGTAGCTCTTAACACTGCTGCCTGAGCTACGCTGACCTCTGATCTGAAGCCGGACAGGAAGGGTCCTCAGGGAGGGAGCAGCCATGGCGCAGGAGGTTAAGTACTCACCGGAAGAAGTCGTTCTTACAGTAGAGCTTGCCTTCCCGGGAGAAGCACTTCTCGGTCAGGTTGCATTTACATTCACAGCACTGGACACACTTGACATGCCAGGCCCTGTCCAGCACGTTCAAGAGGAAGCGGTCCAAGATGGGCCTTTTGCAGCCGGCACAGTGCACCATGGTCTTTGGTTTGGTCGGGTGAGGCCGGGAGAGACAGGGGCAAGTAGAGCCAAGGAAATGACTCCCAAAGACGATCGGCACCAGCTCCCCAGCCCCTCCAAAAAGAGGAGACAAACTCGGCCTGGCAAGCCAAACCCGCACCAGGAAATCAAAAGGGGGAAAAAAAGGTTGAGGCGGGGCACAGGGTGGAGGGCACAGCCTGGGGGTCCCAGGGCCACGGGGCGGAGCAACGCCACCTCGGCTCCCTGGGTAAGGAAAAGAAGCTTCAGGCAGGCGACTCTTCTGCCCAGAGCCCGTGGAGGAATGAAGGTCACCGAGAACCGGCAGCGGGAACGGAAATAAATAAAACGGAGACTGAGAAGAGGAAGACACCGATAGCTCGGATTGCGCGGAGTGCGCTGCTGAGTTCTCTCCGGCTTGAGGTAGAGCTGTCAGAAGTCAAAGTGCATCTGCTTTCGTCGGGGTATGAAGGCGGGTGTGTGCGTACCAGCCTGCCCACCACCGAGGTTTCCCCCTCTTTTTTGTTTTTACAAAAAGAAAAGAAAACAAGTAAAGAAGCTTTGGATTCTAAACTGCCCGCAGCGTGCCTCGGGTTGGGACGCGCCGGGCGCCCGCGCTGGGCCTGGGGGAGACGATGGGGACAAGCCGAAGGGGGAGGGAGGGAAGGCAGGGTTGGAGGAGATCTTGGTGTTAATTGTTGTTGTTGCTTAGGTCTTTCCCCCCCTTTTGGAGAAGTGTTTGTGTCAATCAAAAACCGAGAGGGACAACTTCGGGCGGACGCAGCCAGGCGCGCGCGCTCGCTCCCCACCGCCCCAGCCCCGTCACCTCGGCCAGTGGCCTGCCAGGCGGCCTCCGTGTCCTCGGGGCGGCCCTCCCTGCGCCTGGACTCCTTGGGGGAGGCAATACGGTCCGGCTCTTCACCGCGCCTGGCCGTGCATCGCGGCTCCAGTCACAACTCGCGGCTGTCTGGAGGCGCAGCCCCGCATCGCTCGGCCCACGATCCGGCTGCCTGCGTCCAAACCCAGGCTCTCGACTTTCTTCCCTTTTTCCTTTTACCCCTTTTCTCGTAGTGGTGGCAAATCTGGATTTCCTTTCTAGTCTCCTTCTTTCTCTCTGTCTTTCCTTTTTGCAGCGGGAGGAGTCGGGGGGGAGGGGGCAGCTTGGAAAGCTTTAAAATAATGTCCTGGTGCAGCAGCCACAGTCAGCCAGCGTCTGGAACAGTTCGGCGCCGACCGCCGCTCTCGCCGCCTGGGCTGCAGCTCCTGGCGGGCTCTCTCTGGGCCCGCGCCCCTCGGCTCCTGGTCTTCCTGGCCCAGTCCGCCGCCCGGCGCGTCTCTCCCCAGCTCCAGCGGCTCGGTCACTGCTCCTGGCTGTTGGCTGAGCTCTGGAAGCCCCCTCGCCTTAATGCAGCGCTCGCCGACGTCACGGCGGCCCGCGACCAATCAGCGCCTCGCCGTCCCTCTGTAAACCATTCTGCATCCCTCGGCCGGGGAGAGTGAGGGGAGACCGCGTTTAGAGGATCAGTGGCGGCGGCACCCGCGGCCCCGCGCGGCGCGGGCTACGGGCGGCGAGGTGCCTGGCCCCCTCCTACTCCGGTAAGGCGTCGGTTTCGGTGGGAGGGACTGAAAGAGAGCCAGAATAGGCGCAGCCGGAGGCCAGAGTTCTGGGGGAGAGTAGGACAATCCCCGATCAAGCAGGTCTAAGGTTGGGGTGCAACCGGGTCCGGAAACCCCGGAGGCCCTGGTGCATTGTTTGGCTTTGCAATTCACTGGGTGTTGGCATGTTCCTGTCTTGCTGCTTTGGCCTGAAAGTTTGCCCCAAGCACAGAGCGAGTCCTGGGAGAGGCAGGGGGCGCCTGGCAGCTGAATCTCCCTCCACCCGTCATTCTTTCTGAGCCCCCTCCCCCAATGCATCCAAAGTCCGCAGGGTCCAAGTGTCTGGGAGATCTGGGTGTCTGTCTCCCGCCGGGCGCGCTCCGAAAGTTGACTCCAGCTGTTTCCTGGTGGGGGAGGGGGAGGCCGGAGGCGCGGCGCCTGGGTGGGGGAAGAAGTGGGTGGAGAAGCGCCTCGGGTGAGGAGTTGCAACCCTGGCGAGAAGTTGTGAGAAACTTGTGATCCGGAGACACCTTTTACAAATAAAAACAAACGACTAGGCGGGAAACCGCGGGGCTCCGGCAGCTGGGGCTGGTGGTGGTAGTGGCAGTGGGAAGGAGGAGGAGGGAGAGAAGGAGGTTCCGGGGTACGACAGAGAGGGGCTGCAATAGACGGAGGTGTGCAGCTTGCTGGCTTTGTGCGCCCCAGCTTCCAGGCTCCTTTCTCCTAGCTTCAGGTTGCCGCCAGCTTCCCCAAACAACAGCCGACCAAACATACCTTCCAGAGGTCACGCCTTAGGTGACACAAACATCCCTAATTCCGCTCCCGGTGTAAACTCGCTCCTGCCAAGGCGGGTTTATCTAGACGTGGGGGTCGAATCCGGGCCCTGAGAACCTGAGCATCCAAGAGTCAATCTTGCTCCCTGGCGCGCTCCAATCAACCCCCAAATTCCGGGGTTTTTTCCCCCCCTCCCAAATTCCGTCTTAACCGCAATTTTGTAGGCTTAACCCAGATTTTTCCCGTCTAGAGTTTGAAGGCGACAGGGCTGGGTGATCCCACACCTGCTCCCCATTTCTTTTGGTGGGGGAGTGTTGGGACGGTTTAGCTGCCTCTAGCATGGTAGGAAATAAAGGAGGCAGTCAGCCAGGGTCAGCTGGTGATTTGCAACTGCCCTTTAGATCTTCTTTGCTAGGCAAGGGAAGCCTTTCACACAGGGTAGGGACTTTAAGGGAAATGCGCCAAAAACGCGGTCGCAATGAACCCGGGCTGAGAAAAAATCTGGCTCTGCAAATAGACTACCCTCTTCGAACGAACTGGGAAGGCGCGGCAATGGGTTTAGCTTGCTTTCAGTGGGATTCGGAGGTCTGCCAACGCCCCTGCAACCCTGAGGCCAGCAGGCAGCCAGCGTTTACCTTTTCATTGGAAACCGAAGCCGCCAAGGACACCTGCGCGCCTCTTTGGCTTCCACCCCGCCTGGACCTCGGGGAGCAGGGCTTCTAACGCTCGCCACCGTACCTTCTTGCTCTTACACACCAGGATGAGGGCTCCCTGCTGCGGACCGGGGCAGGAAAGGGGAATGGATAACTTGCGCACCAAACCCTTCGCCAGTCTTTCCCAGGCCGGGGCTCCGGCAGCGAAAGCGATGGCGGGTGCGGCTTTCCCACCTAGCTGGCGGGCTTTGCGGGCTCGGACTTGGCTTCGCGCTCTTCCTGCGGACCCGACACTTACAGGAGCAAGCCGACCGGCAGGGACCCACTACACCGGCACCCTCGGAGGCGCCAAGAGCTGCTTGGCATCGGCTTCTCACTTCCCATTCGGCGGACCCGGAGGCGCCTCCTAGCCTGCTGCCTTTGGTTAAGCCCTGGAGGAAGGGCTGGTCCAGCAGGACGCTGCCCCCCTTCTCCAGATGTCCCAGCACTCGCTCGCAGCTAGAGTCCTCTACCCAACCGCGCTTTCAGGAATCTGTAGCGGGCGCGAGTCCCAGGTGGCTACCCCCCCATCCCCGAAGCCCTCGCCCCAGCTGGGCTCCTTCTCATGTAAAGCAAAGGGGCCAGGAGAGGGGGGCTGGCGAGAGGTTGGAGGGGACTAAGGGCGACAGCTGGACTTTCCAAACTCAAGCCCTATGCCTTCCTTAGGTGGGCAGGAAGAGGTCGTTCCATCCGTTTGTGGGTGCAAGGACTGCAGGACCTAGATATGGGGGAAAGAAGATCCTTTCCCTCCCCCGGAGGATTGAACGCGGCAGGGGAGTTGGAGCAGGCTGGCTCTAGGGCCTAGGGCTCTGCTTGTCCGGGTGTCCGGAAGGTGTGTGTAGGAAAAAGTCCGCAAAGCCAACCCCGGTGTCCATAAGGGGTTGGAGGAGCGCAAGGCAAGATTTGCCCCTTGGCTCCGGATTCTAGGTTTAAAGTCCAGATTTAAAGCAACCACCACAACAGCGCTTAGACTCACCCCCCCCACACACACACACCGCCCTGGTTTCTATTGAGCTTTTGTTTTAAAACGTAATCAGTGGTGTGACACGGAGAGAAAACTAACCTGGCTTTCTAAATTTGCCATCTCCGAAACTATTTCATTTCAGCTGTGCGTTAAACCAGAGTCCTCACAAGCAAGAGCAGCAGAAACCTCTCTCTCCCTACACTACCATACTGTCCTGGTCACTCACTGTCCCAGTCCCAGTACACAAGCTCTTTCCTATCCCAGGTCCTTTAGAGTCACACAGACACACAGACACTTTTCACCACCCAAGATGTGTGAATTCTGAACCCGTGCTGGGAGGTTCAGTTTGGAGCCTCGGCCATCACTCAGTGGCTGAAGAATATCCTCAGCCCTGCTCCCATGACAGCCTCTGCAAAGACTTCGGTGCACTTAGGAAGTGGCTCTCACAGTTCTGATGTCTCTTCAGAGAGACCCCCCCACACACACACACAATGGACCAAAGAAGAAAGACCTTGTTTGGGGAAGGGGGTGGACCACAGTACTCTGCAGGCTCTTTCCAGGCACCCCCTTTGGTTGCCGAAGGTACATCTCTTGCACCGCTTTCTTTTGATGGTCTTGTTGGTCAAGCCCCACCATTTCTCCCCCCATGTTCTTGAGTAACGTGAGCAGAACGAAAACCCAGCTGCCTAGTCTCTGTCGGCTAATATTGATCCCCAGAGCTGTAGCCACCCATGGCCACTTCTTTTCTGTTCATGTTCTTGTCCAGCCATTGCCCCCAGAAAAGGACTAGGAGGCCATGAAAGTAGACCCTTAGGAATATCCAGGTGGTAAGGGGTTACCCTATGCGGAGCCTGAGCCAGCCGAGTGGTAGAAACGGAGTATACGGAGTCACCGGAGGGAAAGAGGGAGGAAGGAACTAACCCAGTGAACCCCTGAATCCTGCCAGTCCAGGTGCCCTGCAAACTCTGCATAGAGTCATGAGGACATGGCTTATGTGATGCATAGAACTGTTAGGCTGGAGTCTTTTGGTTCTGATACCTGACCTCTCACAGCCTCCCTTCTCTCTCCTGACTCAGGCTGCCTTAATCTCTATTCTGTACTTTACTGTTACATCCCTGTCTCCTCCAACCATATAATAAGGGGATCAGAGATGAGGGAGAGCTAATGGGTATTATCTTCATTTTCCTGGATGGGAAACCCAAGTTAGGGGGCTTCCTTAAGATCAGTGCACTAGTAAGGTGAGAAGTGATGTGGGGCACCTTGCTCTGGTGGGGTGTGTACTTTGCTTCTGCAATTTCCAAGTGAGGTTTGGACATAGTGGAGGAAAACTGAGGCTGAGAAAGAGGAGCAGTAGGCCAGGTGTCACAACATGATTGGGTAAAGGACACTGGCTTCCCAGGAGAGCCGGAAGGACCTGGGAGTATGGATGGGCAGACGAGCCAGGAGTATGATCAGAGAGTGCCAAAGAGCAAAGACAGGGTGTGAGTAGTCTTGAAGAAGAGGGTGCACTGGGAAAAGAGACAGAAATGAGGAGCCAGGGGGAAAGGGAATAAGGGTAGGAAAGCTGAGAAAAGGAATGTGGAAAAGCACACGGTATAAAGGGAGAGAGATGGATAGGAGAAGTGCATAGAGGAGTGTAGTAATGCAAACAGAAAAGAGATCCAGGAAGACACTCAGCCACAAAAAAGGCAGTCAGAAGAGGACCATGGAGCTCCCAGGGGGGCTTCTACCAGGACCAGAGGGTGTGCGGGGTGTGTGACAGGCGAGGGAGAAAGGAGGCAGCGTGTTTGGTGGGAGACTCAGCTCCCGTGGAAAAGCCTGTGAGCTGTTCTGGGCAGGAATCCAACAAATAAATAAAACGTCTAAGACGGCGTGACAACAATGTGTATTTGGGTGCTTGCCCATGTTCCTCTGTCTGAGCCCACACCCGGTAAGGAAGACAAACGGGGCTCATGCCTGGGAGTAATTAATCCTCTCCCTAATTGACTCTCTCCCCTTACCTAATGGCAGTGGTCACCGCAGATATCTGGAGAGATATCAAGTGAGGAGAGAGAGAGAGAGAAGAACAGAGATCACCCCAAAGCTAACAACCTTTGGGACTGAGATTGAATTCTTTCTGGATTTGGCAGCTTTAAGTCCTTTCCCTTGCTTCTTCTTTTTTGGGCAGGGTGGGGGGTAGCCATTATGGCCTTGCCCTTCCAGATTTGGGCCGCATTAATAAAGGCCTTTTCAGAGGAAGCAGACCTGGCCACACACACACTGGACCCTTCTTTAGCTCAATCTCGGTGGTGGCTAAAAGCCACCCACTGCCTCTGCTGGGCGTCTTCTTCAGGGATACCACAGTTCCTCCTCCCCCATTGTTTCCTTGGGCGTCCAGGCGCTGAACTGCTGCCTTGTTTGAGTTACTGCTTACTCTTGTGGGACCTGGGATGCCTCTTACCGTCCCTAAATAGAGCAGGGGAGGTTTGGGAAACAGAGACAGCAGGAAGAGGAATGGTCTCAGAGCAAACACCGGGAGAGACTTCAGGAGAAAAATGCACGCTGACTGGGACTGGGGTTGGGAGACAGAAGTAGAGATGAGCAGTTTCTATCTGGCAAAAGTGAGACTTCCAGGGAAGACGGAGGAAAAATGTGGAAACTGTGCCCTATGGGAAAGGCATCAAGTGTTCGAGAGAGCAAGAAGGTGACCAAGTCTGTGACCATGCAGGGCACAGTTCTGGGCTCCCTGTGTGAGTGTGGGGAGGGCCTCTCATGCTACCCACAACACCCTCAGTCCTTGGGGCTCTGGAGAAGAGACAGGGGAAGGTTGTTGCCTTGGATGAGCCCCTTGGTAGCTGAGATGGCTGAAGGGGCCCAAGGCCACAAGCTGTCTGGTAATGCTGCTTTGAGGCTTGGATTTGGGAGGGGAATGTCAACTCTCACCCCTGCAAGGTGGTAGCTTTGCCCTGATGGCCTCCTCAGAAGCTAAATAAATAGATGCTGAGATCTGTAAACCACCCAGCCCAGGGAGTGGAAGGAGTGGGTGGAGGGGAAAGGCAGCTTTCTAGAAAAAAATCCACCCTTCCCCCACAAAACACACTCTTAATTATCCCATGGGAACATTTGTACATTTGACCAAGGCTAATCCCCAAAAGTAACAGGGGAATTAGTCCTAGAGGCTAGAGGTCCAGAGAGAGAGAATTGGCTGTTGGCAGAAGAGGGGAGGCCAGGAGAGGTGGCAGGCCTGCTAGAGAAGGTGGCCAACTTGGCTCCCTCCTCACCGTCTCTGTCATGCTTTAGGAAGAAAGTGAACAAGCGAAATAAAGTTCCAGGGGCAAGAAAGAGAAGGACATATAAAAGGCAAAGCCAGGCCAGAAAGGAAAGAAAGTGAAGAAGAAAGAAAAAGGCAAGGTGGGGGGAGCGACTGTAATAAAAGAGGGTGAAGGCGGCCCCAGGAGGCTGGGCCTCGTCCCAAACCATCCGTCTTCATTGTCTCCGTGTGTGCAAAGGCAACTCTGGCATAAGGAAAAGCCACTATTGGAGCCGTGGCTTTATTTTATATCCTATACATCAGGAGGGAGGCAAAGCTTTATTTTCGCCAAGAGACAGATATTTTATTTCTCTCTTACGGTTTTATGTGTGAGAGATGTCAGGTTGCCACAATGGATGGCTAATGCATAGGCAAGAGGAAGCCGTGTTGGCATGCTGTGTGTCATGGGGTCTTGGGGGGGTGAGCGGGGCTGGGATTTAGGGCTGATGGGACACTCTGGGGGATTTCTGCTAAAACATCTCTCTTCATAAATCCACAAGCGTGGTCAGCTCAACAGGGAGAAGAAGGAGTTTTAGAGGGAAAAGAGTTGGGCTTAGTAATAAATGAACACACAAAGGAACCGCTTACCTTCCTACTGGCTCGGGTAATGGGGGCAGACAGCCCCGTGGAAACGCAGAGACCCACGACCAAACACACACGCGCGTGCACACACACACACACACCTTTCACAGGGAAGTATGTTCTTGACAGTGTCATGTCCCTTTTGTCCCTTTTCCTGCTTTATATTTTTCTGCCCTCTGTCCCTTTCCTTCTCCAGAAATCTTTTTTAACCTCCTCAGAGCCTTGGGGGAAAAGAGCTATTAATTTGCAAATCCCTGATCTGTGAAAGGATCAAGATGACTGTTTTTCACCGCTAAATCTAATGTCTTGCGTGGACACACATGTGCACAGGGCGGCCCATTATGCTGCAGACCCTTGAGTGTAGGTACTAGATTTGAATCTAAGAAAAGTCCTCATCCCTGACCTGCCCAGAAATTAACCTCAGATCTCAAAGTACATAATGTTCAATTTTTAAACCTGGGGAAGTGAAGAGGACATAGGAACAGACATGATAATTAACATGTCCTGTTTAGCACTTAGACTTATCCCCTTTCAGTTAAACCCCCCAAGCCAGTTCTTATAGGAATAATCTTCATTCATCCGTATGTCCTACTCTCTCTCTTTTTTGTTGTTGTTGGTACCAGGGCTCAAACTCAAAACTGCGCGCTTGCAAGGTAGGTTCTTATGCTGCTGAGCTAAATCCGTGGCCCCTCTCTTCAGTTTTTGATGTCTACTATGGAACAAAAGAATTATCATCTTTCCGTCATTTCGGAAAATCTCAAGCAACATAAGATCCCTAGACAATGAGCTGGGGACCTGGCTACACCTTCCAGACTTTGGGGAAGCTATGTAACCTTTCCGGACCTCAGTTTCCCCATCTGTAACAGGGAGAATGGGCTAAATGATTGTTGAGGTCCCTTCCAGCTCCAGAGCTCCTCTGACCGAATAAGATAATGTGTGAAAACACTTTGTAAATGTTAAAGCCGGATGGATGCCAGGGATTATTATTAGGATTCTAATCAATCCTCTTTTCTCCACGTCGATCTTGGCTGTTTAGTGCCAGCAAACAGGCTAAGGAGGGCCAAAAGCGAGAAAGCTTAGTGGAGATGGAAAAGCCCTGTGCTATGGATGGAAAAAACCATGCATCTCCAGAAACATTCTGCCTCTGTGTGCCCCTGGAGGTCTGGTGGGAAGGGATGGGGAGACGGAAGAGGCCTGACACCCTGTGACCCTTTTCGGTCTATGTGGCAACAGAGGATGTATTTCTTCAAAAGCATCATTTGTCTCCAAGTGACTGACATAGGATCCTGATGGGAAGGCGATTTACAATTGTTTTTTTCCAGGAAGAAAGGAAAAAGCAAGGTGTAGCTGATTAGCAAGTTAATTATTTCAGTACCCCAAGGGTTCCACTGTGGTGGTAAGTTGTCCAGCCCTGGCGTAATTTCACAGTCCATGCATTTCTTGGTGAGCACCTGGGGTGCCCGAGTCTGTCTCTCTCTTTCTCTGTCCACCTGCCTGTGTCTTCCTGACATACATGGAGAGAGGGGCAGAGGCTGGGGTAGGAGTCCGTACAGTATAGGTGGTATAGACATTAGCTTCTGCTGCAGCCGGGCCCAGATGTGCAGGGTAGAGGAGGACCAGGTGACGGCTTCCACCTCTACCATGGTCCTTTCTTCTTTTAAAACATTTTTCTTTGAATAAATATTAATGAGACAGGTTATCAGAAAGCGGAGCTGCTGTGCGGTTACTACCCTAGACTTAGCCTGGAGATAGACTGGTTTGGAGCCCTTGCCTCTCACCTGCTCTGCCAGCTCTCCCGTGGGTCTGTTTGATTTCTCACCTCTGGCCACCACTTATTCTACAGCAGCCTTCTCCAGTCTGACTGCAAGATCTGACTTCCCCTCGGGGAGAGGAAGAAGGATTGTGTGGTCAAAGGGACACTTCCCCTCAGAGAGATAAGTTAGAGATACGACCATGAGAGACTCAGAATTAACAGCTTCTGCTCTCTTGCTAGCTTCCTGCTCTTAGCTGGTAGGGACGGCCCCCTGCTGCTCTTTCTGAACTGGGCCAAGGGAGGGCTCTACAGTTTACTTAAGTGTGGTCCCATCTGCTCAGACTGGCCTTTCATAAGGGGAGGGATTTATGCAGTGTCCTTGTGCACAGACCTGGGATTTGGCTAAAAACCTTGGGCCTCTGAGAATAGTACTGAACGCTAAAGTGTTCCCCAGTGCAGATGATTCATGATTGTGTCTGTGCAGACAGTGTGTGTGTGTGTGTGTGTGTGTGTGTGTGTGTGTGTGTTGAGGAGTGCGTACACACTGCTGAGTGCGTCCACTATTTGCATTTTGAATCCAAACATTAGGAAACTTCGTCTTCTCTCTCTCTCTCTCTCTCTCTCTCTCTCTCTCTCTCAGTCTGTGTCTCTCTCTGCCTTTCTTTCTATTCACTTAGGAAACAGCCACAGCACCTCGCTCTGAAGAACCAGCCATAGCACTCGCTGTGGAGTGTCTGATTTCAGAGGAGAGAAGATGACACACTTGGCATTCTCCTCCTAACTTGCTGGAGCCCAAGCTATCTGAAAAACTAGTCCTGATGACTGCTTCATTGATGGTGGAAGAGGATTTGGGGAGCAGAGAACTTGGGGAATGAAGTTTGGGTGAGTTCAGTTGCTGTTCAAGTCGGACTTGGCTTCCTCTGCCTCTAGGCTTGGTCTTTCTCCATAGGAGAAAGGGTAGCAAGGGAAGCGTCTACCTCAGAAGCTCCGGCAGAGGAAGGAGCTCCTCATCTCAGTCTTGTCAAGAGGAAGCTGGGGATGGTAATGACACCCGCTAGAGAGCGGAGCACCGAGGTTCCACGTGAGATCCTGGCCCTGCCTCCGGAGATGAGCAAGTCTTTGGCAAGTTTGAGACACCTGCAAGCGCCATTTATTCATCATCTCTGTGGACTAAATTCGGTTTCTTTTTACTGCCTGGTGTCTGGCGAGGAAGCATTTTCCAGCTTGTGTTACGTTCACGGGTAGTTCTACCATCTTTTTGCTCATGTCCTAGTTTGGCTTTACAGATGGACACGCAGCATTCCCAGCTCTAGTTTTGCTTTCCCTCAGGCCGTTTGTCACGGAGCGGCACTGCACTCTGGCCCACTAGCTGGCACCCGTTCTGGAGGGTGAGCTGGCAGGCCTGTGCCTGTGTGCAAGCTTTTCGCAGTCAGGTTCCGGGAAGAATATACCTTCCCTTTAAGTAAGAGAAGTGGGGAGCTGTTTCTATGAACCTCTTCAGGAAGGATTTACCACGCAATTGATAAGTGCAGTGCTCTTTTTCCTCCTTCTGAATGAATAACTTTGTCAGTCAACCTGAGGGGCCACAAAACCTATAAAAATGCTTCTTTGGTCCCCCTGTTTTAACACATGCTGGGGCCTGGGTCTGCCTCTGACAGACTGGGAGGAGTAGACACATTCCAGAGATCAGGTCTTGGTCTTATCTCTTCCCCTGCCCCAAATCCTCACCCTCTGCCTTATCTCTTTTTACTACAAATGCAGAGACCGCCTAGGGAAGTGTGAAGGGATGGGTTTTAATCAGGTTTGGGGGAGGAGGGGCAATAAGAAAGATGAGAACAGTTGGAGTTTTTTAGATGACACTCTTCTGTCCTACTTCTTGTGTGTTGTGTATTGTATCCTACAAATTATGAATTGGTTGTAATCTGCAGTGCATATGTGCATTTGCCAAATGCTGCTTGGACAAAACAGTGTTAAATAAAATGGTAAGAAATCTACCAGGGCTTTGCATGGGTTATTTAATTCTATCAATGATAAACAATGTTAATGTGCAGCATCTCAGTTGGCACAATATCATGTTTCATTTATATATGCTGAGACATATTTAAGCATGAATGATACTGTTTTCTGATGCACACATTTCCTAATGATTACTTAGAAGTATGATAGAAACAGCAGAAACCTTTTTTTTTTTTTCTCTCACATAAACCTATATGTACTGTGCACACAGACTGCCAGCCATGTGGTCATGTGGGTGGCCAGCCGCTTACATATCTTCGTATGTGTGCTTTCACTGTTAAATGTAAATGTAGGTTTACAAATGTGGGTTCAACTATATGCACTTCTACACAATTCTGAATATATGTGCAAATCTTTTTGTACCCTTGAGTCTTTTGTGCATTCAAACTTATTTTCTCATATATATTCTTATAGTGCTTCTATCAACATGATGTCAATTCTGCGCATGGTTCTTCATGGATACATGTGCAAATATCTCACTGCCACGTTCTGATGTACCTGGAAACAAGGATGTGTACTCGCAGAATGATCTGCACAGGTGCCTGTATGTCTATAGGTGTCGGGACATTTGCATGTTCATATCTGCTCCATCTGGCCAAGGAGCATGAGCTGCCTGTTACCCCTGGAGGTATCAGACCTGGAAGATGACTTCTGTGTGTTTGCCTCATGTAAGCCTGGAGGCCTTCAGGATGGGAACCCTGGAGGAGCAATGCCAGCCACCTGGCCTCTGATGGTAGAATATGAATGAGCCAGCAGTGGAAGAGGGATTCAGGTAGCTGGTCTCTCTAGACAGAGATGCCTCCAAAAAAAGGCTCATCTCACAAACATGTCACAGAGATACGTAGGGGTCAGGATATCAGATCACCTTCTCTAGGCCTGTCCTGCTACTAGTTAGCTGTCTGAGCCTCAGTTTCCAAGTATGTAAAGTGGAATATTGGCCTGCACAGGTGGTCCTCTTTGGCACAGTAGAATCATCTGGGGAGCTTTTAAAAAACACATTCCTGGACCCCAGATCAATTAGATCCGCATCTCTGGATGTGAATCTCCAGCATCTTGTTTGTAAAAGAGCTTCTAGGTGATTTTATTTTTAACCAGAATTGAGACTCCTGAACTAAACAGATCTCCAAGGCTCTGCCACCTCTAAAACTCTGTCCTGTAGGAATATTTTAATATATGCTCCATCCCTGACCCCAGGTCACTCAACTGAAAATTCTAGATTCACTAGAAGATCATAAAAATCCACTGGAAACCTCAGAATGGGAGCTCATGCCTCTAATCCCAGCTTCTCAGGAGACTGAGGTGGGAAGATCACAAGTTTGAGGCCAGCCTAGGCAACTTAGCAAGACTTTCTCAAAATAAAAAGGGGATTGGGGATGTAACTCAGATCTTCTTGTGTTCAATCTCTAGTTCTTGGGGGAGGGAAGTAATTAAAATTATTCTTTCAGTGTAGTAACAGAACACTTTTGAGTAAATTATCCTGGAAAAAAATGCTTACATTCTGCATGTGTGACTCTGTTCCTTTGTTTCCTTTCCAACCTTCTATCTCTCTGACTTACTCATCCAACATTAATTACTTGCCTCATGTGCAAATGCTATAAGTGGGTACCTGATAAATGTGATAAACGTGATAGCTACTGTACCTATTTCCTGTCTGACTCCTCACCCAACCTGTTGGATAGCATACTATTTTTAGCGGGGTAAATGAGAAGGCACAGGTCCCAGGAGGGAAGTTCTCTCTCTCTCCCAGCCCTGAATCAAAGAACACCAGCTCCCAGGCCCATGGCCCAGTTCTGGAACCTCTAGCGGAAGCTGAAGAAAGCATTGAGCCTCATGTCCTAGAAAGCTGCTCTCAGACCTGGGCCTTTGGGAATCCCACATTAATAGTCTCCAACCACAGTTCCCGGGCAGAGCCCGTCCCTCTTGAAAACAGACCCATTCTGTGGTCACGACTGCCAGAGGAGCCATCAGAGACAACCCTAGCTGTGCCACAGGGCCTCTCCTCCATTTGAGGCTGGTTAAGTGGGCGGAGGGGCTCCCCACGCTTGGAGGTGGGGTGGGAGGCATTTGCTTCTCCCTTCCACTTAGTGTTAACATTGACTCAAGCTGCCTCCCCCAAGTCAGCCTGCCAAGGCATTGGGACCAGCTTTCTTCAGGAAAGTTGCTCCATCATGGCTGTTGCTCCTGCATCCAGGTGAGCGTTAGATTAATGTCTGGGCCTGAGACTGCTATAGGTTTGGGCTTTAGCTTTCTTGTCCATTTCTGATTATTGCTGGTTTCTTGGTTTGCCATTTTGTTTTTTTTCTTTTCACATTCTCTTCTTCCCTGATGACATATCAAGTCTGACATAGGCCTCCAAGGGGGCCTGCATACAGGGTAGGAGGAGCTGCTGTGCTCATGGCCATCTCAAACCATGCTGGCTCCTTGGCCCCTGCCCTTCCTCCTCCTCCTCTTCCTTCTCTCCGGCAGGGTGCTGAAGAAGAGAGCCCCAGAGATAGCACAGACCCCTTGGATTCTAAATCCAGATCCAGAGCTCAGCCTCCCAGGCTTGAGTCCCTTTCCAGGGCCTGGGGAGTATCACACCCCAGCATGTGATGGATTCCCCAGGCACCTTCAAAGGGCTCACATTTGTTTGCTGTGTGGACCTTGAATCTTGCTCTGGCCATAAATGTTGTTTATTTTGACTAGAACCTACTGAAAGAAGGCTGGGGGTAAGAAGGGCAGAGAGAGGGAAGATCATAAAACCATTAGCAGCACAGGGCTTTAAGAGGTCATAGGATCATAGAAATTTTTCTACTTGGAGGAACATAGGGCATCAAGAAGGTCAGAAATGGCCTTAAGGGGCCACATGGGGCTAGGGTAGGGGGCTTGGGCCTCTTGTATGGGACTCTTTCTAGAAAGTAGATGCAGGGGGTGGGGACATGACCCCCCAATAACCTTACACCAGGTGGGGGAGGCCAATAGTTGCTGAACATGATGGATTTGCCTTCCTGGTGAGAAGGACCAATTGCCTGGCCACTTATTCTAGAATGAATGCTCTCCCGAGTAAAGGGTTCTGCTTCCTTCCTTCCATATTTATCAAGCAGCTAGTGTATGCTGAATCCCAGGTTTGCTGCTCTTCCATTACCTTCTTTCAACCTTTGAAACAATTGGGAAAGAGATGTTTTTATTATTGTCTTGCAGAAGAGAAAGATGAAGCTCAGAAAGGGAAGATGGTTTGTCCAAGGTCACCCAGACAGTTAGTAGTGAGGCTAGGATTAGACTTAAAGACTTTAGGTTCTAATCTCATCACATTTCTCCTGCTTTCCGTTATCCACTATGGTTAAGTCTACCAAAACCTTAAGGGGCCAGACTAGAATAGGGTTCTCTTCCCTCTATGTTGGGTTAAGGAAAACTCAGGAGCAAGCCTCCTTCTTGTCAGGGAAAACAGCAGAGTCTTGAGCTGAATTGAGTCCTGGAATAGATCTGGTTCATCCTTGAGAGAGCATGTTTTCCTAGATCCACCCTTAGTCAGGAACCCTGTTGTGTGCCTTTCCCTTGCAGTGTAAAAAGTCAGTGACTTCACCTCCTTCCAGGTCCATCTCCATCCCTGGGGTCTCTGTGGGAGCTGAGGGTTGGTGGAGGTGGTGGCAAAGCCATTGGCTTTGAGCTCCTCACGGTTGTAACAGCTGGAGGGGTTGGCAGGGGGAGACAAGGCTATGATTTAGCCCCAAACTTGACTCGCTAAGATGCTGGCTGAGAGTGTGAGCAGCTGAGAGCCAGGGCAGAGCTGGGCCGTGAAGAGGCAGCTTAAGGGGAGAGTTCTTCCCTGATCCCCTGCCTGTGTAATCCAGTTGCTCAGAGAATGGAAAATCCCCTTCTCCTGCCCCAGCCCCTCCCCCACAGAGGCTTCCTAATAGGCCTGCCAGCTTTGGGGCTCTAATCTGCCCAGACATCACTCAGTGAGCAGGTTGCCTGGGGTCCCCATCCCAGCTACCCCTGGTGGGGGGAGATGGAGAAGGCTGGGCAGGGGTCTGGGAAGTTAAGGGACTCTATCTCTCCGGCCTGCCCAAAGAAGAAGAGAAACAAATAGGCCTCAGTGTTGGGGGCAGCTTGAAGGATAGGGACAGTCCTCAAAATTGGAGGGAGGTGGATAGGCCGGCCGGGCCCATGGCAGAGGTGCCCAGGGTGGGGCATCTTATTAAATAGCTCCGGTATTTCGCCCACCACGCTCCCTTCCTCTGTGTTTGAAGACGACCCCTCCCTCCCCAGCGCCTTTGCCTCCCCCACCTCCACCACTTTCACTCATCCATCCAGGAGCACTGACAGCTGCCCCGAGGGTGAACTCCTATCCTCCTGCGGCTGGGGACACCAGAGGGGCTCAGACCAGAGCAGCATGGCCCTTGGTGCTGGTTCACACCCACTATGCGCGTGCATACACGCCCAGGCTAGCGCTGTCTCTGTTGCCCTGAGTCTGCCTGAGAAAGAAGAAAACCGAGGGGGAGGAAACAGGCAGAAGCACTCAGAGGAGGATGAAAAGGAAGAAATGATGAAGGGGGGAAGAGGAAGAGAAAAATAAAGCAGAAGAGCAGGCAGTGAAAGAGGACTAGGGAGGAAATGGAGAAGGGAGTTGAGGAGAGAAAGATACCAAGAACAAGAAGATGGAGAGTGGGATGCATGAGGCTGGGCTTGGCAGAGCATTTATGGAGCAGGCCCTGGTTCCATTTCCAGCTCTGGGAAAAAAGAAATACACAACAGCTGAATGCTGTGATATATACCTATAATCCCAGCTACTGGGAAGGCTGAGGCAGAAGGATCACAAGCTGGGGGCCAAGCTGGGCAACTCTTAATAATAAAGACTGCGGATGTAACTTAGTGGTAGAGTACGTGCCAACATGTGTGAGGTCCTGGGTTCAATCCCTGCAAAACGCAAACAAGCAAACCTCAAGCTAGGAGCAGGTCATCCTTAATAGCTGAATGGGACTGGGTGGGGGAGACAGAG